ACACACACACACACACACACACACACACACACACACACACACCACCACCACCACCACACACACACACACACACGGACGCACGCACGCGCGCGCACACGCACACACGCACACACACACACACGCACGGGCGTACGCACGCACACACATACATACAACACACACACGCACGCACACACACGCGCGCACACATTCACATGCACGGACGCACGCACGCACGCACGCACGCACGCACGCACACACACACACACATACAAGCGCACGCATACGAGCACGCACACCCACACACACAACACACGCGCACGCACACAGCCACGCGCGCACGAATTGGCAAAAAAGTGATACTATACGCAATATAGGAATAATACCGAGCTTATAATATTCAAACATAGAAATATTATGTTCTGTGGATAGCCTGTGAATGACAGGCCTCATCCGTTCTATAGGCATCACCGCTTTACCAATAGGTGGCGCCTGCACGATCGCATGTGAATGTATACGTAATGTAATGACATTTTACTTAGTTTTACTAAACCCTAAGAATGCTATAAACATAATATATATATATATATATGCCTATAGCCAATCCAATAGCAGGCTTTTAACTTGCAGGGTTTACTTCTCTCGACGCCCTTGACCTTGGCTTCCGCGTCACGCTAGTAGAAGATGCATCGCGCGGAGTAGTCGATGACAGCATAGCCGCCATGAGAACCGCTCTGCTAGACAAGGGAGCTGCCATCGTCAATTCAACTAAGGTGGGTGGGCGCCTGCGGTACACGTCTGGGTCACCGATCTCTATGTATCAACTATGTTAGTTTTATTAACTATCTGTATGTTAGTATATAGAGATAAGTGTTCTGCGTGCCCTGGTTGTGTACAGCGCCCCTTGAGGTTGAGCAGGGATTGTATTATGCCACTCCTGAGGGTTTTGGCTATAATTTCAACAATATTTGCCCATCTGCATGTTCCTATTGATACCCATGCGAGCAATGTTCATTGTGCAGACTGCTTACGATGCATATTAGCTCGGCTCACAAAACGCAAAATGATCGGGTTTTTTAACACTTATTTATCTACATGGACCTCTTACCTATCTTTTTGAACACTTTTAACAACTTTACACCATGTATTTTTTCATTTATTTATTTATTCATTACACAGAATTCCACAAAATGCTCTGTTATAATGTTAGTTTGCGTTAAAAACGGCGTCATTGGCGACGTTTCACATTGGCGACAGAGGGTCGTTTCTTATTTAATAATTTAAGAGGAGAAGGATTGCAATATCTTATACTTAGTTTTAGTTATAATATGGACGAATTTGTCCTAAAATAAAAATTGTTTGGTTAAATAGCAGTTAGGTATTAATATAATTGCACTTTTGTGATTAGGGCCGGTCTGTATAACGTGCAAAATACAAATGCACAACTTTTTCAGTTGCAGCACAATCGCGCGCTGTCATATCAACGGGAAAAATTAAAGATTTCTAAATTCACTGTTGTGTTATGACCACAGAAATAATATAGATAGTCTATCTATATT